GAGGAGGAGGAGGAGGAGGAGGAGGAGAATGGTTACAGGAACTGGGCCTGGCTAGTCTAGTGAAGAGAAGGACCAGGGGAGACATGATAGCAGTTTTCCAATATTTGAGGGGCTTCCACAGAGAGGAAGGGGTCAAGCTAGTTTCTAAAACGCCTGTGGGCCAGAATAATGGATGGAAACTGATTCAGCAGAGATTCAACCTGGAAATAAGGAGAAACTTTATGACAGTGAGAACAAATCAACCAATCGAACAGCTTGCCCTTGGAAGTTGTGGGAGTGCCATCATTTGAGACTTTCAAGAAGAGATTGGACTGCCATTTATCAGAAATGGTGTAGGCTCTCCTGCTTGGGTGGGGAATTGGACTAAATGACCTATAAGGTTCCTTCCAACTCTGATTATCTGTTAGCTACAATACAATACAATACATTACAATCCTCCAACTGTTGTCCCAAAGTTGTTTTTTTTTCAGGAGGCAACTGGACTTTCTGGTTTTTCTTTGAAGATGTTTTGCTTCTCATCCAAGGAGCTTCTTCAGCTCTGACTGGAAGGTGGGTAATAAAAATACTACAACCTTTAATGCCAGAGTAGCTTCCGGTTTGGAAGTGTAGTTTGCATCCATTTATAGAGTCGGTGCGGCAACCTGGAGGTTTGTCTGTGTCCTCAGGTCACCTGAGTGGTGCAAGTGGCTGTGGTGTCACTAAGGTAATGGAATGTGAGGCAAATGACAGTTGGAACAGAGATCTTTTCAGGTGGGGAGGGGAAGTGGAACTCTTTAGCATCAGAGCGTGTTAATTACTGCATTAATAATCTGATGGTCATTTCAAAAAATCCTTTTATAGTGAGCACATAACAGCCAAGAGGGACAAACATGGCAAATGTCAAGTTAGTAGGCTTTACAGTTCTAGAGATTTCATGATGATGTGTGAGTGGTATTTCATTTTTATATGTATAGATAAAACATTCCATATCAATTTGAACGTCATTGGTCTGGACATAATTAGTTTTAACTAGAAATACAATGTGAATCAACATAAATCATCATAATAATCATAATAAATGTATCAATATTAACCACAAAGTGATAACACAATTAGTTTATCCATTTTGAAAAGTTATCAATCAGAATTTTTTTATTATTTTTTTAATCTTTTTGGTTTGTAACCACTGTTCCTGTTAGTTAGCCATTGGTAAAAGAAGGCCCATGTTAAAAGTATTCTGTTTCTTCCTTCTCTTTTATTTTAAGTGTTAATCTGTCCATCTCAGCACATTCTAATATTTTTTAATAACATTTTCCTCTGTAGGGATCTCTTTACTTTTCCATTCCTGTGCAAATACAATTCTTGCTCCCATTAGTACATGTATAATATGTTTTCCCTTTGCCATACTAATCTGGTAATATACCCACCAAAAGTATCTCTGGTTTCAAATCTTCTAACCAAGTGTGTATTTTGTCCAATGTGTTTTTTGTGGAAGGACCATATCACAGGGGTGGGATTCAATTTTTTTAAACAACCGGTTCTGTGGGTGTGGCTTAGTTGGTGGGCATGACTTGGCGGTCATGTGAGGAAAGATCAGGCCAGTGATGCCTCGATGTCCAGGTATAACTGCCAAAAATTAAACCCAGGATTGAGAAAGCTTGAGAAGAGCCTGCAGAGTCAACTGTTGAATCAAGCTGTTTCTTCCTTGAGGTGGGTATGATGGAGAAGAGGCCTGCCATCCTTCCCCCCAAATCCCCCTCCTCTCTTTCAAGGCATCTTCCTCTTCCCCTCAGCTTTCCCCAGAGAGAAGAAAGGGAGGCTCTGAAGTTTGAGGTTTTACTGAGGAAAGACTCAGTTGTGGGTTTCTCCTCTTTCTTCACCCTGTCTGAATCCAAGGTTATTACCCGTGAGGCAATCCAAGCCATGATTCAACAGGGATTGGACCTAATCCTGCTCATCCCAGCATCACTTCCTGCTGAAACCTGGAGAAAGACTCTCTACCTGTGGGTTTCGTGAAAGGGATGTTTTGAGGGGGGTGAATTAAAAAATCAAAACACTTGAATTGAATGCTGAGGTTTATTTGATTCTCAAACTACAGAACTAGCAGAAGGAAACTTACAGAACAAGAGAAAAGGGAAAGATGATGAGGTGTCAAAGACAGCAGGGGAGAGGGGGATGATGGACCATGTGGTGATAAAGGCCAGAAGCATAAATTTTCAAGGATGGTCCTTGATGGACGAGAGCAAAACTCAAGGAATTTAGCCACTCGTAGAGCTAATTGTTGCATTCGTCTGTTTTGCAACAATTAATTTGAACGCCGGGCTTCACGTTAGGGCAACCACATCCCCTTTCAGTTATAGTTCCTGTGAAGGAAGCACAAAGCAGAATGATTATTTAAAACATACCAAAAAACAGACCTGTGGCTGTTGCTGAACAAACTGGTAAACCCACACTGAACACATTCATGCATCCCGTCCCATGAGGAAGGCAGACCTCCTTCCTCCTCTACTCAAAACTCAAGAGTAAGTGAATGAAGAAGAGATTTCTGGGAAAGTTCCGTGTTTCGACATGACTCAGGGGCAATGGCACCTTTCTTGGATGTTTCATGGCTTCCTCCAATTTCCCTCAATTCCTGAACAAACCCGCAGCTCTCCCAGCATTTCCCTCCCCCTTTCTCTAAAGAAGGTTTCCCCCTCCCATCTGGGCTGTTGCTGAGAAAGAGGGGGCACCCCAGTCCAAGCTCCCCCTTTCCTTGCGTTGCTTAGACTGTCCAGCACCAGGACGTGACCTCAGGGGAACCCCGGCAGGGCACAGACAGGTCCTACGTTACCATCAACTCTCAGGTGCATTTGGGAGCTCTAGTCTGGGTTCAAGAAGAAAAATACCTCTGAGTGAAGATAAGAAATGCGCTTACCACGGTGATCTCTCCAAGTCTTTTTATAGCAAGAGCTCTCTGCACAAGTTGTAGTGGTTTTAGGTTGCGATGACTGTTGGTTGCAACATGTCATGGTGTATCCTGGATGAAAGATATAATATATAGAAGTATTACCTTGATTTTTATGTTTCCGATCTTGTAATTTTATTACATATTAGATGATAGATCTTTTCATACAAGGTCACCTGAGAAAATTTCCCTAGAAAGGTCAAACGGTCTAGAAATAGGAAACCTGAGTTCCCGTCCCACCTTAGGCATGGAAACCACCTGGGTGACTATGGGCCAATCACCAGGAGACAGTGAGTTCTAGTCCCACTTTGGCCATGAAAAACAGTGTGTGACTCTGGGCCAATCAACAGAAGACTGTGAGTTCCAGTCCCACTTTAAGCATAAAAGATATCTAAGTGATTTTGGAGTATTCACCCACTCTCTGCCCATCCTACCTCACAGGGTTGTTGCTGTGGGGAAAATGGGAGAAAGGAGTACTAGGTTTCTTCGCTCCTTTGGGTCATTACAAAACTGCAGAGCTATAGCACTTAGACATTTATACTGCTTCACAATCCTTTGCAGCCCTCTCTAGGCAGTTCATGGAGTCAGCCTATAGTCCCCCAAAATCTAGGTCCTCATTTTACCAACCTCAGAAGGATGGAAAACTGAGTCAACCTTAAGTGGGTGAGGATCACACTACCAAACTGCAGGCTGCTGGCAGTAAGCAGAATTAGCATGAAATATTGTATTTTAACCACTGTGCCACAATAGCTAGGATAAAAGCCAGGGTAAAAAAAAAACCCTAACCTCTTGTGAAACAGGCCATGAAATAAAAGCAAACTGAAACCTAAGTAGGTGGTCTCTCTGTGGAAGCTAAGCAGGGTTGGCATTGGTTAATGTTAGGATGGGAGACACCCCCCCCCCCCAAGGTTGTATGAAAGTTTGAGGAGTCTCAGAAATCTCAGCAGCAGAATAGAATGTCATGTTGATGTTGAGGAACGTCCAGGCTTGACTTGAAGGAAGCATCTCTGGTCCCCTTTGGCTGTACCATCCAAAATACTGAAGGATGGCAAAGCCAGAGAGAGGGGAGCAGAAACGTTTTTCACCTCATTCCCTGGAGTGATCCCATGGCAGAACTCACTACGCAAAGGAACCTCTACTTTCAGAGGCAGTCTAACCCAGAATGCCAGGCTGGAAGAGCCCCTGTCTCATGGGCAGCTCTCCAAACGGAGACCTCCTCTTCTCCCCCAAAGGTTCCCATGGACCCTCCTAGTGCAGACCAGAACTGTGAGAAAGTCCCACCAAAAAGAAGGGACCACAACTGCCTCAAATACCCTCCCTCACTCTGCGCCTTTGTTCTGGGTTTGATTGCCACCCAAGATCAAAGTTTGCTGGCCTTACCTAAGTCCAGGCACACGATTGTCACCACCACCAAGGTCAGCAGCAGAGTTTTCATCTTGCGATCTTCTCTGGAGCCTGCAAAGTGTAGCCCAGGATGGAAGCAGACACTTATTTATACCCCTCTGAGATGGGGGTGGGTGGGAATGGATATCTAGGATGTCTAGAGAGAAGAACAGGGAGATTCAGTGGGAAAGGGAAAGGCCGGGGGTGTGGCTTTTTTGCCCCCGACACCAAAACGGAAGCCAGATCAGATCAGGTGAAGCACCAACCAATCATTCCCCGACTTCAAGGAACATGCTTCTATTCTGCATACAAAACTTGGGCACCTGGACAATTGGCATCTTTTCCTGTATTTATACAAGATTATACAATCCTTCCATAACGCAAAATTAAACAAAATATCTCTCTGCAGAGTTCAGCGCCTTCCTATTTTTAATTTGTACTTCAGTTAATGAAGTTGGAAACTTCTCTGAATCTTCCAACTTCTCAGGTTGCAACTGTGGATCTGCTTACCTTCAAGAAACATGGCCTCCTTTGAGCAAATCGGAGCATGAGTGGTTCTCTCTAAAACTAGCCACTGGGCTAAAGGATTCGCAAGATCCAAACGTCAGGATAAACTAGGGAGACAGATAGAGGGTTGGTCAAACACGACAGTAGGGTTTCTGGTACAAAACTACCAGCAGGAACAGCAAGACAGATGATTCCAAGGGATGCCTTGAGTCATAGGTCAACAAGTCCTGCAAAGAAAAGATCTTACTGATGACTTTAAAACCAGAAATTCCTCAAACCTGTGAGAGTCCTGGACAGAATAGTCTTGCCACTCATAAAATCCCTTTGTCCTTGATAGGTGTTGATAAAAAAGATCTCCACAGATCAAACCTGGCTTTTATTGTGCCCTACAGTAGCTCAATTCCTTGGTTCTGATTGATTTTCAACAATAGGTCAAGAGTATGCTGATTGTTAGAATCGTAAGCAGGACATTGTTTTTGTCTAACATGAAAGAGGAAGTGAGTAGGTCAATGGGGGGCACCAGAGAATCCTTTTTCAAAGTATAACAGATTATTTGGGGCTGTGAGAAAATGCAGAGATCCAGAGGAAAAAGAGAATTTTCCAGACCAGGATGGAAAAGAGATGCAAAGGAATATCCTGGTTCTGTTCCAGGGTGGGTGGAATCAAGTGGCTTTACTCAGAAAAAAAAGTAAGGAATTTCCTCAGGACTGTATTCAGTCACCACCCACAAATCTATTCCTTCTGAATTTCCTCCTGTGGTTCTACAAACTTCTTAGATGAGATTCAACTGTAATGTGGCCTGAAATAGCAAGAACTTCATCTACACAATCAAGAATATTGGAAATATGGATAAGCCAGAGTAACTTTTTTTTCCTAACCCCAAGCAGTGCAAGAGTCCACCTGTAAAATTCGCTAGGAACACAGTGGCTCAATATGAGCATAAGCTATGTGAAGTAAGATTTATGTCACAAACACATTGTGTTGCTGCTGTTGTCGGTCAAGAACATTCAAAAAATGTAATCAAACTGATTTCCAGGGCAATCCCAAGTTTCCCATTGGAGATCCCTACACTGACCATTTCTAATGGGTCATTGTCTTTTGTCAGACACCAAAGAGGTGGGTGGGAGAATGAAGTGGGGGTCTCAGAAATTCTTTCACCAGGGGAAAAACAACTTCTTAATGCTGTGAGGAAACCTAGAGAACCAGGGAAGAAGGAGAATCTTCCAGGCCTGTATTATTTTAAATAATACAGTAACCGCTTAGAGAGGGCTGTAAAGCCCTATAAAGCGGTATATAAGTCTATGTGCTATTGTTATTGCTATTAGCTCATTTGCTTCCTTGGGATTTGCAGCATTTGTCTATAACACAACATCTCATTTTGCTTTCCTTTAAATAAAACTTCTTTGTTGTGATGTCCTGATTCTCATTTCTAAGCAAAGACAGGTGCACATCTCTCTCAAGCCCCGTTGTACTTGGAGATATACCAAGTGTTCTTAGCAAAAAGGGTTAGTAACTCAATCAGTCAACCCAAAGGATCAAAATATTTCTCACTTGGTGCAGAATTAGTTTTCCAATTGATATCAGGATAATTGAAGTCTCCCATTACTATTGTTGTGTGTTTCCTGCATATGTTTGTTAGTTGGCTGGCAAAAAGATAATCTATTTTTTCTGCTTGATTGCGTGGCCTATAATATACACCTATGGCCATGTCATTCTTTTTTTCTTTTAAATTGACCCATATGCATTCTAGGAAGTTTTCATCTTTGGCTTCATGCATTTCTGTAGCAATATAGTGGCCCTTTACATACAGTGCAACTCCACCTCCTCTTCTATGGGGTCTGTTTTTTTTGAATAGTTTGTATCCTTCTACCAGTATATTCCAGTCATGGGTTCCATCCCACCAAGTTTCTGTTTATTCCAACTATATCATAGTTACCTTCATGTAAATATGATATACATCATGCAATTCTTTGCGTCTCATCCTCATTTTGAGAACAACAGTATCTTTCAAAGATTGCTGTCTAAGGTGTGCAAACTTTGCCTTGAGTCAAGGATTGAAGTTACTCTTTTAAGATCTATTAACCTATGTAATAGAGAAACTCTTCAAATGAAATTAAACTTTGCGAGATCTTTTTCTTTTGCGAGAAGTTGGAATTGATTGAGTGGATTTTTTTAGCCCCCCCCCCCTCAACAAACTTTTGCTTCTCTGCACATGATGGCGAGAAATGCGAAGGAGCTGGAAATCTGGTAGGCAAAGACATCCTAGGGGAATTTGCTCTCCTAGCCAGCACAACTATGTGGCTTCCCGCCCATGGGAAGAGCATTCTCCCAGCCTGTGAGCCAAGGAGATTTGCTGTGTTGCGTGGGATGCATCTACTGTGGTGAGGCAACCCAGGCATGCTAAAGGCCAGAGACGGAGGGATTAGAGCAACTTGCTCGCTTACTTACCCAGGCAGGCAGATCAGGGGTGCTCGGTTGGTCCACGGGCACCGAGTCGGAAAGCAGGCAAGCCATAGAGCAGAGACTGTTTGGTTAATGCAAGGAGCCACACAGTGTGTAATGCCGGGGAGGTGAGGAGTGACTGAATGGGGCAGGGCGCATGAGTGCGTTGGGCTGGGCAAGTGGTGATGGGAAAGGCGGGGGTGGGCCTAGCGAGAGTGGTATTTGTTGGTTCTCTTAACTACTCAAAATGTCCATAAACGTTTTGCTGAACAGGTCTGAACAGGCCAAATGCCACCTCTGGACTTACATGAAGGAATAGAAGGGGAACTCATCAAATATGCAGACGACACTAAGCTGGCAGGAATAGCCAGCACTCCAGAAGATAGGTTCAAGATCCAGATGACTTGAACTCTGGGACCTTCCTAACAGAATGAAAGTCAATGGTGAAAAAAAGTAATTTTACTATGTAATTTTCTTATTGTGAAACACCTGGTGTTTCCATCCCCAGATTAAACGTACAGAGAGTTAAATTCCTTCTTCCCCCTCAGGTTTGAGGGAACTTAAGACAAAAGCTATATCTGTTAAATCAAGGCAAAGTCTGAACATCTTGGACAGCAATTCTTTACAATTAGCCAAGTGCCCCAAGTGAGGTTGAGTTGCACAGAATTACCGTATATACTCGAGTATAAGTCGACCCGAATATAAGCCGAGGCACCCAATTTTACACAAAAAACTGGGAAAACTTATTGACTCGAGTATAAGCCGAGGGTGGGAAATGCAGCAGCTACTGGTAAATTTCAAAAATAAAAATAATTAATTTGGGAAACGATCTCACTATCATGAAAGGTTTAATTGATTCACTAACCCAAAAGAAGAAGATGATGATGACAGCGGGAGGCAGGAGTCACTCTCTTCCCCTCCCTCAGAGGCCCCCTGAGTCAGGAGTCACTACCGCCGGCGCAGCCCCAGTCCCGCCGCCCCGGGAAGGGAAAGGCAAAGCGCTTTTTGCCTTTCCCTTCCCGGCTGGGGCTGTTGGGAGTCGCTGCCGCCGGAGGCCGCGACTCCACACCATTTTTTTTTTCAGAGGGGAATCTGACTCGAGTATAAGCCGAGGGGGATTTTTTCAGCACAAAATTGGGCTGAAAAACTAGGCTTATACTCGAGTATATACAGTATATGGTCTCTCCATCAACTAAAATTCTATTACATCCCCCACATTCCTTGTGCGTCCAATCACACTTGGCCAATAAAAAAAGGAATTCTAATTCTAATTCATAAAAATAATTCTAATTCACATATACACTGATCGTGGGTATTTTGATACTTCAAGTTGACTAATTGAAATGTACAGATAGTTAAATTCCTTCTTCCCCCTCAGTATTGATGGAGCTTAAGACCTCAGCTTAAAATTAATCTTGTTGGATTTCCAAAGACAAAAGAGCTTCAGAGAGATGTTTACCTATCTTTGGTTATGCAAAACAAACATCGTGCAATGTTCAAAATTATTATACTGTCCACATTGTCTCTCTCAATGAACTTGAAGGAATAAATGATGAACAGAGACGTGGCATTCATTCATTTGGCTCATTGTTAAAGAAATGGCGCAGCTCCAATAAAACCATGATTGTGTTCCAGATAGTACCTTTTGCCACTAACCCACTAGATATTTTTAATTTTTTTAAGGTTAGGATATCAGATAATGCTTCACAGACTGCAAATCCTCCATTTTCCTCCTGATTCACTTTAGTCATCATTTGGTGGTACACCAGTTGAGTCGGTCTCCAAACCTGGAGACCCTTGTGTCCTCCCTTCCAGACTACTGCAATATGTCAGCAAATCTTTTAATTCTCAGACCTTCTGTCTCTCCAAGCTCAATGGAACTGCATATGCATTGTATGTGGAGGGAGGAATGCAGTGGGGTATCCAAGGTTCTTT